ATTTAAGCTTGAGCAATTCTCAGGCAAAGAAAAAGAAATCAAGGGCACCTGCCATCAAGGTAAGGTTGATGTTTACTCTATGGTTCTTTCATCCCTTCTCCAATTTCCTTCTTTTTGTTTATTTAAACAGGACTTCACAAATCCCAATGAACCCAACATTGATCAAGGTACCAATGAAGAAGGACCCAAGACAAGTTTCAGCAAGGACACAATTGACAATTTAAAGTCATTATTATCTTACTTTGAAGATCCAAAGTATGTTCCAGGCAATCAGGTATATTGTTCTTACTCATTGGACCAATGGTCTTATCTATCATATTCTGATCATGTTTCTTTATTACTTATGTTTAAAGCATGGGTATCAAACACAGCTATGTTTGTAGATGGTTAAATGGCACTTATACAAGTGGCAATGACAGTAACTCAAAGCTTTATGGAAATCAATATGTTTACAAGAAATGTAAACCATGTCCTGGATGTCAAAGAGCAATTCAATCAGGTGTATAACTCCCACTGACTTGGAAAGAAATCAATGAACTGGTCAAAGTGGTTGATCTGCAAAATAATATAAAATTGCTCTCATTGCAATCAACATTCAGCATTGAACTATCAAACATAGTCATGGTATTCTGGATACTTTGACACACTCTCCCTTGGCTTTGTTTTCAGGACCCCACACAATTAACTGCTTTCAAACTGATCATACTACCGGACTCCAATTGCCTAAGTGGGAAGCTACTACTGCCCAGGCCAGGTATATGTGTCCTCATTATATAATGGGGTAATTAGCCGCATGAAGGTGAGAGATTTTTATTTTTGTCTTTTGATAATATATATCAATGTTTATCTTAGTCTCACACTCCCCTAGAACAACTTGAGCATGTTCTATCTGGATCACAATGAGTGAACCACCAAAGGAAACCGGATGGCTTTCATTGGTGTCATGAGCGACTTCATTGACAATAATTGGAATTATCAGACTGTCCACTTGACCCTGAGGTGGGCATATGGCATCACTGTGTTAATCTTCTAGCTCAACCAGTGGCTCATAACCTTATCTGGCATTAGCTACATCAGAAGGTAAGTGAATCTTTATTTATCTAGCCCTTATGTTAGGTTCTGACAGACGCCTTTGACTATTTCAGATGATTGGCCAGAGCACCAACTCTGGGTCACCAAATGGACCCATGGCTCAAGAAATGGCAAGGCTGTTTGTCAAATCCAATGCTTCTGTCCGCTGGTTACCTAGAAACAGACATGTCAAATGTTTTGTCATAAGCTGGAGCTCATGGTGACCCATGGACTGAAGACTTTGTCTATTAGTGCTGGACATACTAAACCAACCACACAACCAGGGTGGGTGGTACCAAGTTCAGCCATCCAATTGAACAACCAAGACTTGTTAATTGAAGAATTCAAAGATTTGGATGAGGAACAAGTACCTTTGGTCCCTGATTCCTTGGGCAATCCCGGCTTATTGGTGGACCCTTTGGAGGAGGCAATTTAAAGTGCTAATAGCATTGCACACAGTGTTCACAAGGGTTGTTTTTTGTACATTATAATCAGCTTGATTGCGCTGATCATATGTTTTGTACTCAATGTTTTATACTTTGTAGGTCAATAAGCTGATTCAATTGATTTGTTCAAGTGTGCCAAGATGCAATTATTTTGATGCCAAAGAAAAAGAACAAGATATTCAGGCTTCAACTGTGGGTTATGTTTGGAGGTGGAACATCAAATGTGACAGTAGAGATAGAGCTTGTGAGGGAAAGGATGTATTTCTTACTCAAGCCTAATTGAGACAATTTGGTCTCTTGTTCCAGGAAGATAGACAGAAAGAGTGTGGAAAGGGGTGTGGTACACCTGCTTCAAGTAATAAGTGAAGATCTTTGGATCTCCTTGGAGATTACCTGTAGTCAGCCATAACCACTACAGGTTTTGTTACAGGTACCATGGTTGTATTGTGGCGTAATTGTGATCTGTCACCGTCACCATGTTTGACTGTTACACATAGTGGTACGACAGTACTTCAATGCTGAAAAGGCCACCATGGTATGGTGTGGTCCATGCCAAACCGTACTGTTGACTGTAATCATCACACTGAGATCCCAGCATTGATGGTAGCACCACCAAAGTAAGTCAATTTGAGTTTTCAGGATTTGATGTACTGTGATCTAACAGTGTATCCCTTTTATTTTTGTGCACTACCTTGTAAATGCAGGCATTGTTGTGCCACTTGCGGCATCACTAATTGTCAAGATTTGTCAAAACATTCCTTGCTTTAAAGTTCCAATTGAGGATAAGAAGAAATATAACAAAGAGCTGAATGCTTTCTTGATGGGATTGAAACCTGGTGAGTAAGTTGGAAGGTAGATCAAGCAGGTTCCGTGCTCTTCAAATAGCTCCTCAATTCTCCCTCTGTGATGAACACCACCACATTGACAATGGTGAGGTACTAAATTTTGAGATGGATATGGCTTTATTTTTGGCAACTGAGAAAGATGCTACAGTTGACTCTTGATGTTATAAGCATATCGATGGCCGACAGATACTCCTTGCCTATATTGTGTGATGCATAATTTTAAAAGCATAATATGCCTATTGGGCCTATGTATACCAAAAAAAATCCCGCAAAAACCTATGCATATAGCGAGATATGTCTACGTCAAGCTTGCTTACATCAAGAGTTGACTGTACTAGCTAGACAGCAATTGATGATAAGTCAAGCATGTTCATATAGACATACTTGATTTAATTCAAGGAAATCTTCAATATCATCACAAAGGTAACCACCACCCTCACATGAGACAGCTAACCCTCTGTCCAAGTAGACAGCTGGCAAAAGATGGTATTGAATTCCCTCACAACTTTGTTTTTGTGGTGTGCTATGATATCTTTGCTGACTTCAAAAGCTCAATCACAATCATTCCAAATCAAATGACTCTCAAAATATGTATACAATGGGGTGAGAAAAAATCAACAGTTGAATTATCCTGAAATTTGAAGAAAGGCCATGTTGGACCTTTCTTGAAAGACCAAAGTTAAACAACCAATCAATCAAACTTTTTGTGCTAATTTTCTCTCTCAAAGAGGTGTTCAGGTTTTCACAGTACCCTCAATCAGAACAGTGCTGCCAAAATAGATGCCTTGGGTTGAGAAATGAAATCCAAGGCATCATCAGATGCAGATCCTTGGACAGATGTTTTCCAAGGTTTTTATCTGAGGTATTCTTCTGCGCCGAGAATCACCTTGTATCAAAACCTCAGAAAGCTTCTGTCCAAGGTTTGGCATCCAAGAATATCTCACACTTTCCAGTCTGAGGTAAATATGTTGGTGGTGCAGGATCAAAACAGATTTTTTTTGTCCACACCTCTCTGTGTGTGCACATTGACTTGCCACGCAATTACAGACACAGATCTAAACATGAGCCAAGAATACATAAGCTGCCTGGAAGATGCGTTGTGTTTTGCATGTTTGACAGTCACAAGACCGACACATTAAATGACTGGAGACTTGTGGACCTGTCCTTACAAACAAGAATAGTGGAATATTGTATAGAATTCAAATGTCATCCAGTTGGTGATCAGGATCAAACGGCGAGCAGACGGAACTCAGACTTGTCTTTTTTTGTCTGGTGCCATGAAGTAACGAGGAAAAAGAAAGTTAAGTCAAGAAACCATAATGCTCTTCAGGAGAAAGTCTTACATCAGGAGAAAGTTTATTGAGGAGCTTGTTCTTGGGACCCGCCACTCCACCTGCGTTGAATGAACTCAATCAATCCATGACCATCTGATCAGTGAACTTCAATGGATGTTTCCGTGAATTTTTGTGCTCTTCGGTGCGTCTTTGCTGTGAAGCTATTAAATGATCCGTCACGATCATGACCATATCAGGAATCAGTCGGTGAGATGTCAAATCGGAGGTCGTAATTAACCCAGATGAAAAAAGTCGGAGAGTAAGGTAGGGTTTGTGCATCAATGTCTAACGTGGATCGAGTTCGTTCCTCTGCACCCGCATACAGTCTCCTGGAAGACCATTGTGCAGAGCTTGAAGGAAGGTTTACATGCGTGTTTTTCAGTGGAGGCTGTGAAAGATCGCCTCAACGAGCCTCGATGGTCCCCGGGAGATGAGGAGTTACAATCCAGGCGAGATCCGAGTGACTCCCAAGCGGACGAAAAGTCTCACCTTGCATCTTTCGGACATCCGCCGCTGGATCGGTCTAGCACAACCGCAGACATAAGAATCGAATTACGGAGCTCGAGTGTGGTATAAGTCTCCATCGGATCGAAGAAGGCACATACTCAGCTTATTGATCAAAGATCACTGACTCCAGGAGTATACTGATGCAATGCTGATTGACTTCAGCTTATGGTTGGATGACTGTTTGATCTCCTTGCAGCTTGTTCACTGTTGGCCGATTGCACGAGGAAAACAGTCATTAGGCCAAAAAGTAAGATTCCTCGTGAAGAGTTGCGGTCTGAGCATCCAACGCATGCTGCACTCGCTTGCATTTCTTTCCATGTCAAACAGGTAATTATTCCGATCTTCTTCTAGCTAGTGATCACCATAGACACACCACACCTAAACAGCAATGGTTTCAATGTTGTGAATAGCGGTAGTACCTCAAATGCGTTCAATTTCACTGTCAGGTAGATCAAATGGGCATCTGAATTTCAAGCTCTTTGATCACACCTCAACTCGTTGGTTTATAAACCCCTTGGGTCACCAGTGAGTAACGGCGCACTCTCCTTTTTCAAAGCACTCTTTTCAAAGCAATCCTATGGTGATACCTATGTCTGAACAGCTTCTCACAATGATATCTAAAAATAAGGCTTGCGATAAAAAGAGAATTTATCGAATGTGTAAATTGAACCTGATCAATTTTCTGGTCACCTTACCCTTCATCGTCTCTTCACAGTCACTACAATTCAATTACCCTGTCTCGACTAATAATCCAATTTCAAAAACCCCAAGTCCAGGTTTTGTTACCATCAGGCAGGATGATACCGATGGGACCAATCACTTTTATCTGGGAGACCGACTTTTCGATTTTCGAGGCTTCAAGTTTAGTCACTTTCTTTTTTGAATCTGTGTATCTAAGAGAACTGAAATTCGTTCCGGGGTTTGCTCTTTGCGAAAGTGCGCCGACGCTACTGGACGGTGAGTGACTTTCAGACCTGACCTGAAAGATATCGGTCGTTTAAACTAGCTCGGCCTTTCAGGTTCGGTCTATGAGACGGAAGACCTTCTGAGTACGATCACGGGATTTGGAACACCAGTCACTCGAACTTATACCTTGGCGGTCTCGACTGCTGCGTTTGGTGGAACCCAGAAAGATTCAAGATCTCACATCACAGGATGGGACTTTGATAATGATGGTCAGAAACATTTTCATATAGTCAACCGTGGAACGTGAAGTCTTGACCATTTTACTCCAAATTCTTTCTACCCTTTCTATATGAAGATTGGATATATAATGAAGAAAAATTTGCTCAGTTTGATCGTGTGTTGGACATGGCTTCAAAACACGGTGTGAAGCTCATAATTCCCATCATAAACCAGGTAAGCTGCACTTCACCCGGAAAGACATACAATGAATAAACTAACATTCTCTCTGATTCTCTCCGAAGGACTATGGAACAAGAGACACAGATTTCGTAGGAAACTTCAATGATTTGATCCGGCACCGGTATAACATCACCTCCTACCGCGTCGCAAATACAGAAGTAGATTGGTTCACAGATGTAGAGATGAGGTGCGCGTTCAAAAAGATCATTCGAAAGCTACTTACGCGACGCAACACGTTCAATGGAAAGATCTACGGAGAAGATGATACAATCTTTGCTTGGGAAACTGGTAATGAGATGAATTGGGGACGACAAAACAACACGATACGTACGCATATCGTCCGTTGCAAGCTCAGCATATGGAAGCAGTTCTGATTGATGCAGCTACCTCTACCAACAGATGACCAGCCTGCCCCTGCTGAGGTATTACCCTTCTCTAAGGTCATCAACGGCACTAAGCTAATGGTCCTGCTTTGAAACTGGCGCCTAGTGGACCATCGATGTCGCAAGCTACATCAAGTCACTCGCCCCTTCGACACTAGTTATGGACGGCAGTTAGTAAGCTATACCCCCCTCTTTTGCTTGGAAAAGAATTGCATGCTTTGGAAGATCAACTGATTCAGAAAATCATCCGCGTCCTAGCTCTCGGAACTTTAACGAAAGCTCCTGGCCACTTGAAACACTGCAGTCGGAATATGTTGATATTTTCTCTTATCATTTGTGTAAGCCTTACACTCCTTGTGAAAGTCACTAAATCTGTGGCTGAACACGATCCTTTTACCAAAAATTAAAAAAGACGGCGATCCGGATCTTGATCATTACAACGAGTTCAGTATTCAAGTTTTCATACCACTTGAATCATCAGAAGGATACTTAACGATACCTCTGTTGACTGATCTCCTTCTTGAACTTTTATGACTGTGTTTTGGTCATTTATCCGTGTTCAAAATTCGTCCTCCTAGTCTCAGAGACCAAATTCTCGAGGCAAACAAGATTCTGATCATTGGAGAACATGGCTTTTATTCTGATGCCGCAATTTATGAGGATGCGTTTGATTTGATCGATTGTCCCGGTGCACTTATCTGGTCCATTCGCGCCCATAATGAAATAGGCGGATTTACAACACATTCTGAGGGATCAAACATTTACAGGTCTTTATCATTTGATAGAGTTCCCAGAGCCTGCGGAGGTACTCTGTATTCCATCTCTCTATAGTGGGAGAGAGAGCTTCAGGTGCGGACAGAGAGAGCACACACGTGACAGGCTGGTAGGGGATGTCACGGAGTGTGTAGCCTGATGTGGTGCGAGGAGATGATCAGAGTTTTGATCTCTCTACTCGACCACATCCTCTCTGCTAACGACGCACCTTGAAGATCCTACAAGATCCCCTCAGGATATCTCATAGAATCCCCTTTTTTTGAGGTGCAGTTAAGATAGAAGACTGTCATCAATTCGAATAAGAAGCTCAATAAAACAATCACAAAGAGATCCGCTTCACAAGAATATCGACCTTAGTTCATAAGCCTTACTACAATTCATACAACGGTTCATTCCTTTAATTTAGTGCTAGAGATCATTCAAGAAGGTTGGAGTACACGAGACAAGTCTAGTTAGTGGAACATAGGATAAGGATCAGGCTCCGGCATATGTGGAGGAAATTGAAAACGAAAGTACCCCCCACGAAGTACCATTCAGATCAAATGATTCAAGCGATAAAGCAAGCCGAGGAGAAGAAGAAAGCACTGGAGGAGAAGGCGAAAGAACAAGCTGAAGGTAGAAGAAAAAGGGCGGAGTCGAGAGCACCCTTAGCGGGCGGAAGCCAAGAAGGAATGTCGAGATCGATGGATGGTCCTACAGGTTCCCAAGAGACTGGAAGCGCCCCGCTAACGTCTGCAGAGATAGTTGCGATCAAGATGGAGATGGCAGAGGGGAGTTTGGAGAAAATCAATGAAGAAGACGGTCATCAGGAAGCAGAAGAGGGTAAAGGAAGTGGAGAGCGAGGAGAGAATTCGTCTAGTGGAGATTCATCGGGAGATGATGAAGTAGTGAAGGTGGAGAAGATGAACAAGGAGAGGAAGAGGAAGAGGAAAATGAAGGGAAAGGAGAAGAAGGTGGTGTCATCAGGATCATCATCTGATGAGGAGATCGGGGGAAGAAGCCTAGGGAAAAGCTTTTGAGGCATTGATAGAGAAGGACCAGGGTAAGCCTACCTTCATCTCATCCTCTCAAACGAGCAGCACATCGCTCAAGATGTAACTCAGGGTCAGGCATGATGTGCACCCCCCTAGCCCCTCCTTTCTCTCTCTTTTTGAGACAGCTCCAGCGAGAGGAGCGTTGATGCTACAAATCCCAAGTCTAAGAAGACTGATGGGATCGAGTTGTTTATTCTTTTGAAGAACTGATGGGAATCGAGTTGTTTTATTCTTTTTGATGGAACAGTTCCTAGAGGGCAGGGAAAGGTGTCGACTAAGCCAATTCCCAAATTGACAAAGAAAGTCGAGGCTGACCCTAGACCGTTAATCGACCGACTAGCGGAGGCTCTTGAGATGGGTAGAGACGAGGAACTGGAAGAGTTGAGGAGAGAGTTTAGAGAGAAAACAAGTGACATTAATCGGAATGGAAAGGAGAAGAGGAAAGAAGAAGGAGAAGGAAGGAAGAAGGGGAAAGAGAAGATGAGGAAGAAAGAGAAGGGTAAGAAGTCAAGGAGTTCAAAGAAAAGAAAGTCCGGTAGGAAGTCCTCACCTTCGTCTTCAGATAGCGAGTCCTCTTCGTCCCACCCCTCACATCGACCATCGGAGTCGAAGAAACTGTCAGA